CAAGGGCTGCTGACCCTGCGACAAGGAAGCAACAGAGTGTCAGACCATGCTATCTGCTTCCGCACCCTAGCAGCAGAGAGTGAGTGGGATGAGAACTCTCTCAGAGACACTTTTTTGCACAGTTTATCTGAGGACATCAAGGACCATCTAGCACCACTGGATTTGCCCCCTGATTTTGATTCTTTAGTTGCCCTGGTTATAAAGATTGACAACAGACTTCAGGAGAGAAGAATGGAGAGGACCCGCGGAGCCCGCAGACCATCAAGCCACTTGGAAAGACCAGCTTTGTCTACAGATTCTTCCTCCTCTTTTATTCCCTTGATTCCACAGAACAACACAACAGCATCCTCTTGTGGATGTGAGGAGCCCATGCAGATTGGACGCACCCGTCTAACCCCAGAGGAACGCCAGCGTCGCCGGAAGGAGGGAAGATGCCTTTATTGTGGACTGCTGGGCCACTTCCTCGCTGCATGTCCAGTAAAAGATCAAGCTCATCAATAGGACGAGGGTTATTGGTGAGTCAAACTTCTACTTCACAAAATCCCTCCAGACCAATATCTAATGCTTTATTGACTGTTTCCGTGTGTTCCCTGGAGCTGGCTGTGTTTGTTGATTCAGGAGCAGATGAAAATTTTATGGACAGTGGGTTAGCAAAGAAGCTAGGTCTGGCCTTAGAATCTCTGCCTTGTCCTCGGGAGACCACTGCACTGGATGGCTGGCTTCTTTGCTATATCACTCAATGTACCCCTGCCTTAAGTCTGACCATGTCAGGTAACCATTCAGAGATGATTTCATTTTTAATAATTGACTCCCCTGAGTTTCCACTTGTTTTGGGTCACCCGTGGTTAAAGAGACACAATCCACATATTGACTGGTCCACTGGGGTTATTTTGGGTTGGAGTGAATTTTGCCACTCATCTTGTCTCATGTCTGCCTCACCCAGTCCCTGTTCCAAGAACTCTGTCTCCAGATGTTTTCCAGATCTCTCTCGTGTCCCTTCTGTCTACCTGGATCTTAAGGAAGTGTTTAACAAGTCCCGAGCCACCTCCTTGCCTCCCCATCGGCCATATGACTGCGCCATTGACCTCCTGCCTGGAGCCTCTCCACCTAAAGGTCGCCTCTACTCTCTGTCTGCCCCAGAGAGAGAGGCCATGGTTGAGTACATTCAGAGTTCCCTGGCTGCAGGAATCATCCGTCCCTCCTCCTCACCTGCTGGAGCAGGTTTCTTCTTTGTGGGTAAAAAGGACAAGTCACTACGCCCATGCATTGACTACAGAGGTCTCAGTGAGGTCACAGTAAAGAACAGGTACCCTTTTGCACTTATGTCTTCTGCTTTCGAACAACTGCAAGGGGCCTCCATTTTCACTAAACTGGATTTAAGAAACGCTTATCATCGAGTTCGTATCAAAGAGGGGGATGAGTGGAAGACGGCCTTTAACACACCTAGTGGTCATTATGAATATCTTGTCCTTCCCTTTGGCCTCACCAATGCCCCTGCAGTTTTTCAGGCCTTGGTTAATGATGTCTTAAGGGACATGTTGAACAAGTTTGTTTTTGTCTACCTTGATGATATATTGATTTTTTCCAAGTCTGAGGAGGAGCATGTGCAACATGTCCGTCAGGTTCTTCAGCGGCTGTTGGAGAATCAACTTTTCGTCAAAGCAGAGAAGTGTGACTTCCATCAGCGCTCTGTTTCATTTCTGGGTTTTATTGTGGCACCAGGCAGTTTCAAGATGGACCCAGATAAGGTTAGTGCTGTCACGGATTGGCCTGTCCCTACTGACAGAAAACAGCTGCAAAGATTTTTGGGGTTTGCCAATTTCTATAGACGTTTTATCAGGAACTATAGCTCTGTCGCAGCCCCTTTACATTCTCTTACGTCCCCAGGAACAAGGTTTGCATGGAGCTCAGAGGCTGAGGAGGCCTTTAAAACCCTCAAACAGCGGTTTTCTTCTGCCCCAATCCTCACCCTACCAGATCCAAGATTGCAGTTCATCGTTGAGGTTGATGCATCGAGTGTGGGAGTGGGAGCTGTCCTCTCTCAGCGCTCTTCCAAGGACAGAAAGGTTCATCCCTGTGCTTTCTTTTCTAGAAAACTTTCTCCCTCAGAGCGAAACTACGATGTGGGAAATCGGGAACTATTAGCTGTCAAGTTGGGCTTGGAGGAGTGGAGGCATTGGCTAGAAGGGGCAGAGCAGCCATTTCTTGTGTGGACGGATCACAAGAATCTGGAGTACATCAGAACAGCTAAACGACTGAACTCGCGTCAAGCCAGGTGGGCCCTTTTTTTTAATCGGTTTGATTTCACCCTCTCTTATCGCCCCGGCTCCAGGAACCTAAAGCCAGACGCCCTGTCCCGTCAGTTTGAGTGTGAAGAGTCTCCAAGGACTCCTGAGACCATTCTTCCACCCTCCTGTGTGGTTGAAGCAGTAACATGGGGCATAGCTGAAGAGGTCAGGCGGGCATCGGAAGGAAAGGAGATTCCTGAAGCCTGTCCTGAGAAGCACTCTTCCAACCTCAGCTGTCATGCAGGAGTTGCACGCTTCATCAGCCTTCTAAGACAGCGTTTCTGGTGGCCCACAATGAAGGAGGATGCCCAGGAGTATGTTGCTGCCTGCCAGGTCTGTGCCCAAAATAAGACCTCCCGCCACAGGCCAGCTGGGTTACTCCACCCTTTATCTGTTCCCTGACGACCCTGGTCACACATATCTATTGACTTTGTTACTGGACTGCCTCCCTCAGAAGGTAACACTGTAGTTCTTACTATTGTCGACAGATTTTCTAAAATGGCTCATTTTGTCCCTCTGCCTAAGCTCCCTTCTGCCAAGGAGACGGCAGAGGTCATGTTATCTAATGTTTTTCGGTTGCATGGACTCCTTCAGAATGTGGTGTCAGACCGGGGACCCCAGTTTGCTTCTCAGTTTTGGAAGGAGTTTTGTAGACTCATTGGAGCCACTGCGAGTCTGTCCTCTGGATTCCATCCACAGTCAGATGGCCAGACTGAACGCTACAATCAGGAGCTTGAGACAGGACTCCGCTGTTCCGTATCCCAAAATCCTTCCCTCTGGAGCAAGTATTTGATCTGGATTGAATATGCTCACAATTCTCTCCCTGTCTCTGCTACAGGTCTCTCTCCCTTTCAGTGTGTGTATGGTTACCAACCACCTTTGTTTCCTGAAGCTGAGAAAGAGTTAGTTGTGCCCTCGGCCATGGCTCTGGTCCGCCACTGCCACACAACCTGGAGAAAGGCTCGAGCAGCTCTTCTCCGAACCTCCAGCCGGTACAAGGAGTCAGCGGACAAGCAGCGTTCTCCCACTCCTTGTTACAGGGTGGGTCAAAGAGTCTGGCTTTCCACGCACAATCTCCCATTGCATCTGGAGTCACGCAAGCTGGCACCAAGGTTTGTTGGGCCTTTCCCCATCACTAAAATTGTGAACCCAGTGGCTGTGCAGCTCAAACTTCCCAGGACTATGAGAGTTCATCCAACTTTTCATGTGTCCAAGATCAAGCCCTTCAAGGTCAGTCCCCTTGTCCCCTCCTCTAGACCCCCTCCACGCCCCCGAGTTATTGACGGCGGACCTGTTTACACTGTAAGACGCCTGCTGTCTGTCCGCCGCAGAGGCCGTGGACTGCAATACCTTGTTGACTGGGAGGGGTATGGACATGAGGAGAGGTCCTGGGTCCCTGCTAGAGACATTATTGATCGCACCTTGATCAGAGACTTTCATCAACGCCATGCTGATCAACCAGGGATGTCAAGAGCCGTCCCTTGAGGGGGGGGGGGGGGGGGGGGGGGGGGGGGGGGGGGGGGGGGGGGGGGGGGGGGGGGGGGGGGGGGTCTGTAATGTTCTCTTTAGCTGTTAGTGTGTTTGTGTTAATTTCCTGTTTTTATTTTGAAATCCTGTTGTTTTTGGTTGATGTCTAGTTTTACTTCCTGTCTTTGTTCTTTTCCCACCTTTTGATCACTCACCTGTGACTGATTTGTAATCACCTTCACCTGTGTATGTGTACCATGTGTTTTCACCAGCCCTCTGCCAGATTACCATTGTCTCCCAGTGTGTTCATGCCTTCCAGCCCTGTGGGCCTAGTTTTGTTTGCCTGTTTTTTGGACTTTGAAGACTTTTGGTATGTTACTCTTGGAATTGCCTTCCTTTGGATTCTGCTTGAATTTTTGAGTAAAGAACTTTGACTTTCTGCATTTTTTTGTCCTGGGTTTTTTCCTCTGCATCTGAGTCTTTTCTTCTGAAACGTGTCACGGTCATTCACAAATGGCCTCATGTGACTCTAACGACTCCAGTGACAACCGTTGCAGCAGGAGTTTCAACAACTGTTGCTGACACACCATTGGAGCACTAACGAACCAGTGACATCATTGGCCTTGTGAAGACCTCCCCAGAGGTTAAATACCTGGGTGCTTCCACACCAGTTTGTCAGACTAGTTTCAGCCTAGTCAGACAAGCATGAACTGATGAAGCCTCTTAAGAGGTGAAACATCTTCTAAGACAAAACCAAGTCCAGTTGCGTTCGATTCAATTGCCTTGAGATAACTATGACCTGGATGAATGAGAATATCCACAGGCATAGTCAATACATAATGTGTTCAGAAAAAGGAATGAAAAAAATCCGACCTCTGTGGCAGCTGCAGGCATGTAAAAACTCTGACCAATCCCTGCCATTCGGTGCGAATGGAAAGAACCAATCAGATGCCTTCATGTCTCATCCTGTCCGAGCCCCCCCTCTGTAAACTGAACTGAACTGAAAACTTGCTCTCAGTGCGTTTGCGTTTATGCTGGTGGAGACTGGGTAGAGTCTCCACCTTCTTCTGCTAATCCATCCCACTCCAATCCAAATCTATTGGTCGCAACCTCTTTCTTTTTGTCCAATCATGAACAGGCCCGTTTTTAATGGTGTATCACTTTTATTTTAAGCCTGGAATTTCCCAAATCTTCCACCCTTAGCTTTGGATTTGCTTTCACTTTATTTTTAAAAAACATGTGAATCTTAGGGACTTTCTTTATGCAGCCCTTTGTGCTCTTATGCAATATGAACCTATAAATGTGCATCAGGTAATACAAACATTTGAATGTGTGTGTGTTATCATACAGAACATTTAGTGTGGATATAATGTCAGCTCATAACTCTGTATTGTGAACATTTTGACATGTATAATAGCGCTTTAACACATATAGATGCTTTTCAATCGGTTTTGTAAGACCTTATATATAAAACATGGTTATATGGTGTTTATGTGGCTTTTGTTTCTTAATCAACTTATGCATTATAACACTTTTACTTGATTGGGTATTAACTCTTACACTACAGGATTTGTTATTTTACTCAGCTCTCCTCTGCCCTGCTGCTGACTCCTACTGCAGGGTGCACATTCAAGTTTGTGTGGGGCCGTGGCTTTGGACAGAGCACTGACAGGAGGGGGAGGACGGGGTGGAGCTTAGAGGAGGTGCCGCTTTCAAATCTTGCTAGCTCTCCAACATTACCAACTAAAGCTTTAAAGGCAGGCTGGAAGTAGGTGTTGCTGATGCGTGGTGGGACAGGTTGGCGAGGGCAGCAATTGCAAATGCTACAGCAGCAGCACCACAGGTATTTCACTGTATGTATCTCTCTGTGTACTCAATACTCAGTGCTCATTTTCAAATGCATCATGCCCATGTTATTGATTCTGTGATAAAGTAATGTTGTTTGTGGGAAATGTGTGTGTGTGTGTGTGTGTGTGTGTCTACAGCCTCCAACAGAGGGCCCTCAGACAGAAGTTGAGGTTGAAGATGAGGAGGAGGAGGAGATGGCATAAAAAACTGTAAGTTCAGAAGTTCTGAATCAAAACCACACACTATCTAGTTTAGAATGCTGTTTTTCCTATAGAAAACTTAAACTCCTTTTTGTATTATTAAGCCAAGAAGAGCTCAAAAGAAGTCAGTCCTGGAACAGGTGTTTAAAGATGAAGACCAAGAGCTTCTCAAGGAAGCTTAGACAACAAGCAGAGCTCTGTCCATCACTGAGCAAGTGCAGAAAAAGATAGACATCTACAAAGGCCTGCCTGCAATCCCATCCCAAGAGGGATACCCTCCCTAATTCATCTGCTCTCTCAGAAAACTATTTGTGCATCCAGGCCTCATCAACCCCATCAGAGTTTTCTCCACTGCTGGACATACGATTAGTCAGGAACGATGGCGCATATTGCCAGAGAAAGCAAACGTGAAGGACTGTAAAATTAGGTGAATTGGTTGTGTGTGTTCTGTGTGTTTGTGTTTTGCACCCAAAGTTTAAGATGGAGATTACCCTGGTGGTAATGGTAAATTATGGCTTTATTGCTAGGTTTGATACAGAATAGTTTTATTTGAGATTTGTTGTGACATTTATTTTATATTGGTTAATTTATTACTTATACATCATTTTATTTATATTTTTTAAGAATTTGAGAGTTCAAGTTTATATTTTTAAGAATTTAAGATACTGTGTGTGTCAGAAAATGCCTTAAAATAAAAAGACATTGTTTTAGGACAAGATTTGTGTGTTTTCCATTTTTTAAAGTATCGGTTTGAGCACCGTTTAAGCACCGGCACAGTTTAAAAAGTACCGAATAGGCACCAGTATCGTTTAAACCTATATGATACCCATCCCTACTAATAACCCCAATGAACAAATACAAAATGAATTGAACCAACTTAAAACTCAACTGGAAAGTATCATACACAAGAAAACACTGCTTCTTATCCAACAACTCAAATATGACAGCTTTTAATACAGTAACAAATCAAGCATCTGGCAAATCTACTACAACACAACACTGTTATGACACTCTTATTAATACCTAATAAAGATCCAACTCACCCTTCAAGCTACCGCCCACTCTCACTCATCAGCACTGACTTAAAAATTATGACCAAAACACTCACAGCCAGAATAGAAAGAGTCACCCCTATCCTAATCCACCCTGACCAGACAGGCTTCACCAAATACTGACATGCTTCAGATAACAAACAAAAAAACAACAAAAACAAAACAAACCCATAATTCTATTATTAGATGGCGAAAAAGCATTTGACAAAGTAAACTGGAAATTTCTATTTCGCAATCTACACAAGTTTGGTTTTAGAGAGTCGTTATCCACTGGATAAGAACACTGTATACCTCACCTAGGGCTACAATAATCACAAATGGGAACACAAACTTCACACTTCACCAAGGAACCAGACAAGGATGCCCACTCTCTCCCTCCCTGTTTGCCATTTTTATTGAACCACTTGCAGCAGCAATATGTCAAAACAATAAAATCAAAGGGATACAGGATACCAGTTCACAACACAAAATTAGTTTATATGCAGATGATTTATTATTATATCTACAGAACCCATCCGTGTCACTACAGGACACTTTCAATATCATCACAATTTTTCTACAATCTCACACTACACAATAAACTGGAATAAATCAACCATACTACCTCTGTCTGAACACACCTGGGATTCTGCAGCGCAAAATCCCCCCCCTTCCACTTCACACTGGCAATAAAAAATATTTAGGCATTAATATTTCCTCCAGGCTGTCAGAGTTATTCAAACTTAATTACACCCCATTGCTCAAAAAAGACAGAAGACGATCTCAAACGCTGGACCAAGCTCCCACTCACTCTCATAGGACAAATAGCTACAGTCAAGATGAAAACCCTACCTCAGATTAATAACTTGTTCTCAATGATTCCCACCACCCCCATCGACAAATGGTTTAAAACACTAGACTCAATAACCACTCAGTTTTATTGGAACAACAAAAAACCCAGAATCTCACTTTCAACATTACAAAACAGAAAATTGCAAGGCGGCTTAGAAGCACCAAACTTTCTCCACTACTTCCTGTCGAACCAATTGCAATATTTATTTAAATGGACGGAAAAGCACAATTACAACATTCCCTAGCTAGACTTGGAACAAAATCATTGCAAAGCAACTTCAGTCACTTCAAAAACTGAATTACTCTAAGAATACCACAATCCACGCACCTCTGACGGCCTGGTGGAAGACCATCAAAATCACCAAATCATCACTTGCACCGTGTAGATACACTCCAATTTGGCACAACGTGCACTTCCAGTTTTTCAGCACCCCTATTTTCTTTCCATCATGGCATCAAAAAGGAATCACCCATTTCCATCATCTGTTTCAAAACAATCAATTCATATCTTTCAATGCATTAATCCAGGAGTATGGGGTTGGGAGAGACCAGTTCCTCCACTACCAACAATGAAAATTCTATAATGAAATCCAAAATTAACATCACCAACAACACACTACAGCCATCCAGACTAACCAGCGAGATTATGAAAATCCAAAACTCAAAAAAAAAATCATCTCAAAACTTTATAAACTTATATCCATCTCAGACACTTGCGTAACACTCCCAACCACAAAATGGGAAAATGACCTGGCTCTCTCTCCCAACCCTGACTTCTAAATAAAAATCAATAACAACATCTTCTCTATGACCACTGACGCAAATTTACAATGTTTAATGTTTAAAATGGGATTGGCTGACACAGACACCGGTTCACAATGCATACCAGGTAGCACAGATGATTATCTGCATGCCACCTGGGTCTGTCAACCAGTTCATTCCTTCTGGACAGCAGTCACTTAGAAACTCACCACCATTTTGGGCTGCAGAGTCCCATTGTCCCCATCACTCTGCTTCCTAGGAGATACCACACAAGTAGCCCTCCAAACTAATCACAAAAACCCATTACTCATCTCTCTAACTAACAAACATCTTTATTTTCATTTATTTATTTGTTTATTGTCTTGAACGTAATTTTTCCTATTTCCCCCCTTAGTATTATTATTATGATTATTATTAGGGCCCGAGCGATGACAAAGTCGTCCGCGTAGGACCCTATTATAATCGCGCTGTTTATTATTAGGGCCCGAGCGACGACGAAGTCGTCCGCGTAGGACCCTATCGTAATACCATGTCAGGACTGGCAAAAAACTTGATAAAATGAAAAAATTAACCCCAACAGCTGGAGGCCCAACAATGCTTGCACCTTTAATTTTTAATAAACTTCCGTCTGCCACCTACTGGCAACAGATAATGACTATTTTCATACTTTGATGACCCTCTTCTAGCAGGTAAATCAGACCCATGTCAAATTTGCTGATAAGAAGTCCTTGATGATACTCAGAAATCAAGCTTTTGAGTTTTCATCAAACGCTGTCACCGTGGCAGCGCCTCATTTGCCATAAAACAGGAAGTTGTTTTTAAGGGGCAAGGGATGCTTGAAAACCCACGAAACTCAGTACACACATCAGAAGTCTTAAATTGTGTTGTCTGATGTGATTTTTTTGCTTTGATGTGCCAACTTTTCTCAGCAGCGCCCCTAAAAAAATTTGAATTTCCGCAGTACATTTGACCTAGATTAATGACACTTGGTAGGCATACGTAATACTCCAAGACATACAAAAAAGCCTCTGGAGCCATGCTCTAAACCCAACAGGAAGTCAGCCATTTTCAATATACTTTTTTTGTGCATTGAAAGACCTTAATGATGAAAAGTTATTGCAGGCTTGGGTTTTCCTCAATCTGTGCGATCGTGGCTAGGTGCCAAACTAAAGTGTTCCTCCATGAAACAGGAAGTGCTTTTTAACTCCATCATACATAGTCCATTCTGCCCCACACTTCATGTATTTTATAAGGCTCCAGGCCAAAAGCCAACTACATACACATTAGATGTCATGGTGACTGCACCATCTTCTGCCAAGAGGAAGTATGTTTTGTCAGACACTTATCTTTTGATTTACATGACATTTACACAGTGGGGTCTGCAACATGATGTATAATTAGTGTCCTCTCCAGCACCACATAGTGGAAAAAGGAAGTAGTACAAAATGTGAAATACAGCATCTCAGTGCCCACACTCCATGGAAGATATTCAATTCAATTAAATTCAATTCAATTTAATTTATAAAGCCCAATATCACAAATCACAATTTGCCTCACAGGGCTTTATAGATATGCCATCTCACTCCTGCGTGCTAGGGGTGTAACGGTACACACAAGTCACGGTTCGGTACGTACCTCGGCGTGAGGGTCACGTTTCGGTACGGGGTCAGTACAATGGGGGAAAAGCAACAAAAAGTCACACATGTATTACACTAGCTTTTTTTCATTTATTTTGAACAGACACCAATAGACTGCAATAGAATAGAACAGAATAAAACATAAAACAAATGCATTGTGTTCTCATACCATTCATTCTTTCTGTTCATACAGAGGAAAAGAAAAAACACAATTTCTTGTGGGGATAGACTGAGGTAGTCAGGTAGCACTTGCCAACTGGCAACTTTGGTAACGTCATTATAAGACATTTCCAATGTTGTATTACACAGGTAAATGAACAGTGAACATACCCTCACATTAGCAATATTTCTATACTGGCACAAATCAAACAAAAAATTTCAAATAGTTCCAAAACTGAAAATCTCTTGAAAATACTACAAAATAAATAATGAGTGTTTCAATTACTCCAGCCTAAGGTTAATGCAAAAATAAATGGCAATACAGAACTGAATACCATCTCCTGGTGTGAAAATACAAAATAAATACACTATAAGAAAAAATAAAATCTGTGCCTTTAGGAGCAATGCATCACGTGTGTGATTAATTGAGTCTGTAAGTTCAACTATGTACCTCTTGAGAAGATACTAATGTGTTTTTCAATTTTGAGGTTTTTCTTCAAAAACATGAGTTTGTCTACATTGGGTCTCATTCATGAAATGTGAGCAGAAGGAATTTGTGTGTAAACTGTTCGCAGACGGAAATTTATGTGCATGTCCGCATTCATCAATATTTTAGTAGCGCTGATCTTTTCGTAGCTACTAACAAGATCTACTCCTGCTCCTGACCACTCGTAGTGCTTGTGTAAATGTAGTAAAGCACATAAATATTGCTTGTCACTATTGGAAATTACAATTTTAATTAGTATTGCGCTCTGTTATGTACACAATACACAGATACCTTTGAAACATGTAATCTAAACATGACAAAATATTATAAATATAACACATTTAGTTAAATTAGTTGGCAATTAGCAGATTTAAGATCCAGATTAGGTTCATGATTGTGAATTATCTATGTAAATCGACTCAATAGATTCAATCAATCAATCAATTTTATTTATAAAGCCCAATATCACAAATCACAATTTGCCTCATAGGGCTTTACAGCATACAACATCCCTCTGTCCTTTGGACCCTCACAGCGGATAAGGAAAAACTCCCCAAAAAAACCCCTTTAACGGGGGAAAAATAACGGTAGAAACCTCAGGAAGAGCAACTGAGGAGGGATCCCTCTTCCAGAACGGACAGACGTGCAATAGATGTCGTACAGAAC